CTCTCTTTTCTGTCTCATAATTTTTCGTACAATTTTAAAAATCTATTTTAAATGTGGTTTTAAATTTTGTATTGTAAACTTTTTATGATGTGTTAATATGTATTAATATACCATATTTATATTGTATGTTTAATGTGCTGTTGTAAATACCTGGAGAGCTTTGGCTGTTGGGTGGCATGGAAATAAAGTAAATAAATAAATAACTGTTGAACTTTTTAACTTGTAGGTGGGAATGGTTTTGGGATGAATGAGGGCAAGAAACTGAGCCCTAAGCCAGCCAAGATGGAGGTACTATGAATAAAGAAACAAATGAATCTGGAAAGAGATATATATTTGGATTTTAGATGAAATTGCGCTTCTCTTAAAGGAGATGTGTGCAGTTTGGGGATGCTCCTGGACTTGGCATTAACTGAAAAAACTCCAGTTACAAAAGAGCATTTTTTAACCAGCTTCAGCTGGCATACCAACAGCAACTTATCTGAAGATGGATCCTATCCTGTACTTCACACCAGCAGCATTCAGACTGGGCTTCTGTCCTGCTGCCTCCATGGGGCTACCTCTAAATTGGTTTTAGAAACTTCAGCTGGTTTAGAGCACAGTTGCCTGGTTGTTGGTAGAAGCTGTGTGGTCTGCTCATAATTTCCAAGCCCAATAAAGCGGCCTGGAACACCGGCCTCATAAGGCAACTTCCTCCTCGGCTCTAAAGAACATTGTCAAGATGGTCTTTTTAAGATGTGTTTGTTTATATGTATTTCTGCATATGCACAAAGGAAAGAAGTACATGCTCAGTTTTAAGTATATTATCCAAGGCAATTGTTGACAGCAAATATGATGACACTAACTGAAAACAGCTTTTAATGAAGAGGAACTATTCTACAGCTGTATCAAACCAGTGCACTGTGTCTCTAAAGATATTTCTGTCTGGAATTTGCTATGAAAAACTGTTTGAGATGCTTTTGAACTTTGTGTGTAGTCCCTCTGATTGCCACAGCAGCTTGCAAAGCAGCTAAAAACCCTTGGTGTTAGGAAGATGAATTTTATTCTCTGTTCTGAAATTTTCCTGAGAAATTAAATTACAGAGGTTAGTCCAGCTGGCTACATTTGGCTCTCGAAATCATGAAAGTGTGATATTTCAATACATCCATAACAAGATTAAAGAAAACATTTAGGTGAGATTGCAGAGCTGTAACGAAACCAAAGAAGCTTCTTTCTGAACATCCAAGCCCAGCTCTGCACATTTGGATTTACCGCAAGCACCACATAGCCACCACAGTTATTTCCTGTTCTAATTATAAGATAAATGTGTGGTTTCTTTGTCAAGATGGTATTTCTTCCTCCCTACTTGATATTGCTGCCTGGATGCCTCATTGGTTCCTTCCGTATCTTCGGCATATATCTTATTCTTTCACATTTCAGGCTGCTCTCATCTACCAATCTATGGTTTGGGGCTTGTGTGCTATCACCTCTCCCCTCCTTCTGTGTCAATTTGCTTCAGTTTTCAATTAACCACAGTTTATTCTTACATCTGAATTCTACACAGTGGGCAAGCTAAATTTTGCTTTAGGGGAATAAAAGAACCATGATCTGAAGTATGCTTATTTCAATAAACCATAGTTAAGACTAACCACTCAATTTCAGCATTCTTCAGACTCTGACCTGGCAGTACTGCATTTCATATACCTCTTCAACATCATTAAGCTGCTAAAAGCTAACCAATGCTACTTTTAAAATCCTAATAAATATGAATAATGAACACATTTGATGAGTACAGACATTAACTGGAGAAAATTCAGCTAAAATTCAGCTAAACAAGGACTAAAATCATTTGAAAGCCTGTTCCATGGTGGTAGAAGGGACAAAAATTGTTCTTTTCTGCCACCACTGCATCTGCACAAAGAAGCCCAATGGAGCTTTCTTTAAGTGGTCAGAGGTCTTTTCCATTCTGGCCAAAGAGGAGACCCCAGCATTGGCTTGTTGTGACAAATCTGTCAGATTAAAGTGACCATCTTTATGCCACCCTGGCACAGATACCACCGTTGATGCTGATCCAGTGGATGTAGCTTTGGCTTTTTTTTTCCAAATATAATGGATACGTTTCAATAAGGATAAGGGGGAATTATCTAATTCCATTTCAGTCTAGTTTCATGCCTAGTTAGGGCACAGAACCTTCTTCAGTCTCTTTGGTGGACTATCTACACTGGAAATTGGGCAGGTGGAGCATACCTAGGCTGGTTCTGTTGGACCTCTCAGTGCTTTCAATAGCATCAAGCACAGTATCTTTCTGGGGCATAACTCTGCAATATGACTTGGAGGCACTGGTTCTCTGATGGCTCCATTACTATGCATAGCCATTAGCCTGTGATAGTCCTCAATTTTGGGTTCCTTTCTCCCTGCTCTGAGTTCTGGGATTTGATGCTACTAGTATGCCGATGACAGCTTGACCCTATCTCTATTTTCTATCTAAATCCAAGGAAGCTGTTCTAGTTATAAAGCTGTATCTGATTTTGGATACAGCTTTATAACTGTATGGACTGAATGAAGGTGAACAAATGAGATGCTCCTGGTTAATCAAAAGGCAAATCATTGAATATAAATGGTACCTGTGCTGATTAGCTCCGCCCCCCCCGCCCCCCACAAGCCTTAGGCTTGGAGTTTGTGTATATTCCTCCATCTGTCTGTGTATTGCTATGCTGAAATTTTAGTAGGGGTATTTTAGCCAGGAGTATATCTGTACAGCTGAAGGAGAGGTACCAATTGCGCCCATTTCTAGAGATATGTGCTCTGGCCATATGCATGCATTCTTTAGTTAATGCCCACTTAAAGTCCTGTAAAGTGGGATGGCATTAGAAGAGTGTTCAGAGACTTCAGCTGATCCAAACACTGTTGTGGACACTGCTACAGACTGGGCCTAATTACAGGAAGAACATGACTCCCTTATTACAAAAGGGTAATAGACTACCAGCCTGTGTTCAGATACAGTTCTATATGTTAGCAATGACCTAGAAAGCCCCATATAGCTTAAGGCCTGGCTGTCTGAAGGACAACTTTCTTCCTATGAACCTCCTCAGGTTTTAAGAGAGGTCCGTTTGGGCCCTGCAGCCTTCTAAATAGCTGGTCTGAAGCTCTGGGACTCCCCGCCAAGGGAAACTAATTGGTTTCTCTGTTTTCCTTCCACAAGGAAGAAAAAACATTGTTATTCAGGAAGGGTTTTAGAACATGAGCTGATCTGTTACTGAAGCGGGGTTTAATTGGCTGCTCTTATTTCTTTCATTTTGTGTTCTGAATTGTGCTTCAAAAAACCTGTTCAAGTTATTTTTAATTAAGATTTTGTTTTAATCTGCATTTTAGTTATGTTAACCATCTTGAGTGCCATTTTTGGTGGAAAGGCATGATATTAAATATAGAAATAGATGCTTAAATTAAGATATGTTGAAATAATTCTACAACCTGGCTCATTTTGCAATTGTATGCAAAAAAACTGAGTTATCACACTGAATTAGTATTCAAAGTTAAACTCATTTTTATTGTAATTCTAAGACAAATTGAATCACTACCTGCTTTCTATACCCTAAAACTGTTATAAAAGCCAGGACACCCCAAACCTCTCCTAGTTCAGCATCTGGAAATCAATTTGCGATCATTTTAGCATTACTAACATAAATTCAGGAGCAAATTCTTCATTTCAAAACACAACAGATATATTCAAACTCTCTTAGGGCACAATCCTCAGACACTTTCAAGCATCTAATGGCAGAAATAAAACAGTGGTGTTACTCTTTACTACCTCCACACCTTATACTCTGCAATTTTTCTAGGCAGCCATTTTTGGCTATCAAGGTTTGTTTGTGTTTGTTTAAAGCATTTCTATTCCATCCTATACAAAAGTATCAGGATAGTGATATAGTGGCAAAACACAAAAGTAGACTATAAATATCTAATAAAACTGACATTAAAACAACACTAATCCTTCAAATACAGGGAAAATAAAAAGATTGTGGCTTGGCACCACCATAGAAAAGGCCCTTCTCAGGAAGCCAGTCTTCTAATCTCCTTTAAAGAGGGCTCCTGAAGAAAGGACTTCAGATAAAGGCCTTATGGTGGACAGGCAGGTGTATACGGAAGGAGATGCTCCTTCAAGCCCTAAACTGTTTAGCACCAGGGAGGGGAGAGAAGGAAGTTCTTTAAGTCTATGGCCTCATTCACCTCCGTTCCCCCACAGATGCTCCCATTGCCCCCCCCCCCCCCGGGGCTCAGTTGCAACAGCCAGGAGAGTTTTTCCATGTCAGCTGCAAGAGGCTCGGCCTTCAAAGGCCCAGCCCCAAGACTGGAGAATCTCAAGCTGGGACTCTGAAGAACCCTCAGTCTTCCAGACCACATTGGGAGAACACAGAGCTGCACTCTTAGAAGCAGAAGGTATGGTCTTGTTTGGATACATTGTCAATCCTTGCACTGCTCTGCCACTTCATAAGAAGCCTCCCTAACACCTGGTTTAGAAACTGCAAACAAGAGAGATCTAAAAGTTGTGTATACTTTCAACATAATCAGTTAATTACTGCCTATCATCTGCAAACACATATATACTACACACATACAAATGTTTGGGCTCCCCCCCATATATGATAGTCATTATTTATTAAACAATAGTTGCTGAAATACTTAAGTATTCTGAATTCAGCTGTTAAATGTGGCTATAAAGGATTACTATTTGGGGAGCTGCTATTCACAAACTATGATCAACAAGCTGTGGAATAATTAGCATAATGAACTGACCGTTCTTATTTGTTTGGGTATCCTTGAAGAATATAGACACAGATACCAAGGCTGTACAATGGAGAAATATTGACTAATTAAGTGTTAACTGTACCATCACTTCTGCAGCCCATTCTTAACAGGTTTACTGAGAAGTAATACTATTGAATTCATAGAAACTCACTTAAGTAAATCTAGAGTATCCCTACTTAGGAAAATACAGTGAAGACAGACTTTATCTTTTCACTTACCATTTGAGATCTATTCTTTGGACAGCCATTGATATCTTCAATCTTCTCATTTGCTAAAATTGAACAGAAAGAATGATTGAAAACCAAAGAAAACTTCTTGTAAAGACACCTGGTGCAGTTATTCCCAGAGCACTTGTTGCAACTAAATCAAACAGCCCAGAGCTGTGGTTACCCAATCAAAACAAATGTGTGAAACCCCACAAGCCGTCTGTCCGGCTGAATACTTCTCCTGAGCCATTCCTCCAGAGACAGCTGGAGAAGGTCACCATCATTTCAAAAGGAGACAACTGGGCTGACAGCATTTCTTAAAGTGACGGGTAGTCTTTAGAAGTTGAATATTTGAAATGTGGAAGCCACACTCTTTGCACATGAGTGCACGGATGGCTAGTTGAGTAAGCCATGTACATGTATAGAACAGAACCATCCTTTACTATAGAGGCACTAGATGAAGTCTGCCTATTTTTTAATAAAGCATTTGCAAATCTTTTCAACCAACCAGCGCCCACAAAGTATAAGTACCCACAGAGCAAATATATTCCAGGGAACCTAAGTTTATTCAAAGTTGTTGGCAATACTCAGAATTCTGATTTAAAAAATCCACTTTTTCTCCAAGCAATCAGTTTTCATTCTCAGCCATCATACCTGCTGAGACAGTGACAGAGGAACACCTGAATTAATGGTGCTCAGTGGTTGTAAGGCACCTAAGGGGGCCCTGAAATTGCAAGGTGAGGGGCAGGAGACTGAGGGAAGTTCATATGATTTTAATGAACACCTAAGGAGGAAGCAGGATTCTGGCTGTACTGATGGCGATCAGCTTGCTGAATATGTTCCCCCACCCCCACTTCCAGTGGCTGCATATTGGCCCTAAGAGACCCCACAGCTGTACTCACACAGGCCTTCTCCATGGTATGGGAAGCCTGGCCAATCAGTCCCCCAAGAGTGAGGAATCCAATGCGAACAAATCTGTGCAGGCAAAGGGCCCGCTGTTCATTTGTGCAGCCATATGTGGTGTTTGGTCTGACAGAGTTTCAGTGTCACTGTAGATGGATGGACAATGGGACAAACTGCACTCTTGAGAACACCCAAGGGCTCAGTTGCAAGTTTCATGGAATTCTACCATGAAAACAGAACAAGCCAGTCATGTCATTAAAGTAGTATGGAAAGCAGAAAGCCAACGAGCAGGGGTGATATGTAATTATTTCCATTTTGAGGCTGAGAGATTCTGTCTTCTTCAAAGGTGTCCAGCTAAACTACAGTATAATTTGAACTTGAGATTAGCAGGCTGAAATGCGGCATTCTGCACAGTGAAATACACTGGTTCACTGCTGTTACAGACATACTGATGCTTAGCTCATGTTAAGGGAACAGTCTTTGCACATTTAGTCAGTAAAAAGACGTACAGTTTCCAGCATGCCCCAGCCTATTGCAGAACTTTCTTTTGTCTTATCATGTATAGCGCTGTACCTTAAGCTGTCTGCTGTACAGCTTACACAACATTAAACACATCTCCATGCACCACATCTGTAGCATGGGAGCAGTATCTCAACCAATGTTTCTGTCTCCTCCTGCCACGCTGTATACTGCACATACACAAACATGGCACCCGCATGAAAACATGCACTGACCAAAATAGCAGTCTTTTAAAAATATGCATTCCATATATTCTCAGGAGATGAGTTATGGTTTCCTCCTCCTCTAAGTCAAAAGAGCAAATTAAATGGCTTAATTCCATACTAAAGCAGAATGCAGATTGTCCCAAGTTTTGGCTCTTTTATATGGGCAGATCAAAAACTGGAACACAGCCTAAAGGAATTCTTGGCTTTAGTGCTTCAGTGACAGACACATTCCAAGACGACTGGCTTCCACATGGAGACACAGAGCATTAAAAGTCAAATGTATATGGAAAACAGTGATGTATCTCTTAAATAATTTTGCTGGGCAGCTGCTGGTTTTCCCAAACTTATATACAGAAATAAAAAAACACGAGCAATCCCAATTGCTCATGGCAAACAGAACATTCTGAGAGCCACAATCTATCCAGCTGTATGATGAACTCTGGTTGATCCTGCTCTTGTCTAGGGACACACTCTAATGTAGATCAAATGGTACATGTGATAGGCTATCAGAAATAGCTTTCTCAGAGTCCCCTGCTCTTGTTCTCCCTCCAATTAGAAAGCAAAATGGCTTTGACAGGAAAAAAAGAAGCTTATCAAGGTGGGCAAATTTCATTTTTAATTCCTCCCTTTCCATGTAAAAGTTGGGTGCGCAGAACATTTCTGTCAATATGCCAAAAACATGATGCTCTTTTCATGAAAAGAAAAGAAAAAAAAACAAAAACACATGAGCTGCAGACTGTGGGAGCCACACACTGGCACAAGAGCTCCTGCTGCCTATAAAGCATGTGTAATGCTCCCCTGCTGGTTTCAGCAAAGCTTGATAGTAACACGTGCTGATGGCTTTGAGATGTGGTAGCAGCTGAAAGCTGTTTTCTGGGTGTTCACAATTCAAAAAGATAATCACACAAATAGGGCATGTTGAGGTCTTTTTTACATTAACACACGGTGAATTTCTTTGACATGATTGCCATTATGGTCAAGCTTGAAAATGTATGAAAATACATCTGCATGAGAAGAAGCAGCTTGTTCACACGTACACATCACCTGAGCAAGAATGTTATGATGCTGGTTTAGTTCAGCTATACAATATTTAAATTTTTGAAGGTAGTTTTGCTTCCTCTTCCAATAATGTAAGAAGAGTCCTGCTGGATCAGACCAAAGGCCTCAGTGTCCTTTTCCTCCACAGCAGTTAACTGGGGAAGCCTACAGTCTTCCACCGCCATTGTTTGGTGAGAATTTCAGCTATTGGGCAATACAGAAATCAAATCAATAAATATTTCCCAGCAAATGACATCCAGAAGTAGACTGCCTCTGACTCTGAAACAGAGCCTGTATGACTAATGGCCATCGATATATCATCAATATACTGGTCCAATCCTGTTCTAAAGCCCTCCAGTGTTAGTGGCCATCATCTCATCGTGTAGGAGTGTCCTGCATCTCTCACCATTCAGCTTCACTGGATAACCACAGCTCCTACTATTACAAAGGTGGTAGAAAGTCTTCTCTTTTTGCAGATCTTGATCGTGTCCCCACCTCGAATGACTCCTTTCTGAACTAAGTAGTCTCAAACACTCTAATCTTTCATCACAGGGCTATCGCTTTCCCTTTGCCCTTGATTATTTTGGTTTTCCCTTTCTGCACCTTTTCATTCCTTGCATCTTTTCCAATATCCTTTTTGTAGTGCACTTCTGTTACAACAGAGATATTTGAAGCTTACGGCACAGGTTACAACACAGAGCAGATATCAGGAGGCTTTTTGAATAATTTCCTTAAATAGGTATCCAATGTACACTCTATTTAAAAATGGATATTTTTGGTAATGTTTTAAAAAATACTCCATGCTTTCTGCTAGTTTGAATATAGCAGTATCTGGAGTAGTTACTGTGCAGGAGTTATTTATGTCTCAGTCTCTCCGTAGGTTACTAACAACATGCACACACGGCATGAATGCCATGAGAAAGGCTCAAAGCCAATTTTAGTAACGTATGTAAAAACAAAAGGCCTAAGAAGTGTTTAGTCATTGGTGCTTGGGATAAAATGCTGCAGCAGAACACATATTGGTAAATGCAGAGCACACTGCAGGGAGTCCAGTGCTGTGGCAGTAATGGGAATTGAAAGAAAAACTGAAATGTTACGTGATTGCATCTTCTGCTAATATAAGCCTTGCACACATCTAGTGATCTACATAATTTTCCAGGAAAAACAAGGCAAACCTGATTCTCTTGAGCACACATATTCACAAGCATAGCAACAACTCCCTCCCCAAAATGCACAGAAAGTGCTTCATTCTTCCTTTATTTGTCATACAAACATGCTCTCCCTTTTCAGAATTCCTTTGAACACCTGAGCAAGTGCAGCAAACTCATTTCAGCACACAGGACCCCAATAGTCCTTGCCTAACTGAGAACAATACAGCCCTATTGGGTTCACACCTGCTAGGTAAGCATCATATATCTTGCCACCTTGCTGTTTTCACCTCCCCATCATTCTTTTAAGCTTTTTTCTTCTAGACCAGCATTTGAATCCATTGAGCAAAGGTGCACTGGTGGGTAGAGCCAGAGAAACCATATGGTTTTTTTAAAAAATATATCCCCTCCCCTCCCCTCCCCTCCTACCCAGGCGTCTCCCCTCGTACTCAGCAGAACACCCATTTTCCAACTTCTAGGAGGTGCTTCAAGGTTACTTTTGCAACTTTGAGAAGCAGGTAACAGGGCAAGAGCACAGGTAAGTTGGTAGTGGAAACAGTGGATCTTGTAGCTCTCCCCACAAAGTCATAGCAGTGTTTATGGTTACAGGAGGGGAAGTCAGAGTAATCCTATGATTCCACCAACTTGCCACCTTGCAGAAATGAGCATTTTAGCTAATTTCAGGCTGTCTCTAAAGTGCTAAATCACTGCTGTGCAAGCTATAAATTAATTAATTAATTAATTAATTAAAAGCTTTTCTAGCCTGTCTACCACTGATGTCTTGGGACAGCTTACAGTGAAAGAACTGGGGCTACCTTCACTGCAGCATTGGCAGGTCAGATGATAAATGTATTAATAAGCACCACTTCAGCCTGTGCTCTCTGTTTTTAAGATTCTCTCCTGCTCTTAATTTCTACTGTTGGTGCTCTTTGTAAGTCTTGAAATTATTTTTGAAGTTTCCAAAAATGTGTTTAGATTGTTACAAGTTTTAACTATAAACCACCTTGGTGAATAAAAAAGATAATTCATCAATTTACAAACAGGCTGAAAATGCATTCAGCTGAAAATACAGGGCGGTTTTCAATAAATGTAAGCTTCATACAGTGATATATGAAAGTGAAATTACTGTGCTGTGAGCTTACCTTTTGTGTTAAGGGCTGATATTGGTGTTCCAGTGAACAGAACACTGCTGTTTCCAAGAGAAATTAGATGCAAACACTTTCACACAGGTAATAATTGTGTGGATGAGTGTTTAAAACTTTTAAAAGTACAGGGCTCCTTTCTAGATCAGGCCTCTGGCATGAAGGAGAAGAGGACTGTAACCCATTTCTCCATGCTACAGTTCTGCTCCAAATTTGTGGATTATTTGCCTCAAGAAAAGGCTCCTGCACTCTTCATGCACAAACAGCCAGCATGGAATACCCAGTCCAGATCAGGCCTTAATCACATACATGCTAATTACAGACATGATGTCATTTCTAGTTGGACCTTCCTTCATACAACTTCCTGCATACTCGCTTGCCCAGTCGCTTATTGCAGCTGCTTGCTCACCTCTGACTGGCGATGAAAGCACCGTACTTCTAACTGTCTGAGGCGAAGGCAGCATAATCTCCTCCTATTTCAGACATCCAGCAGTAGGTTGCATTTCCAAAAGTGACTGAGACAACAGCAGCAACCAATAATTCAGTTGCTAGAATGCTACAAGTGGGAGTTCATACAAAAACACAGCACACAACACATTCACAGCACAATGAGCTCTATTTATTATGTGTCTCCTGAAGCCACAATCCTAAGGGAGCTTACACAGTAAGCTCATAATATATTTGGTGGAATTTACCTTTGAACTATTTGTTTTGTGGATCTCACAGTCCGAAATAATTTGGTGTATTCCCACACCTCTGGAAATTAAACTTTTCAGGGGAGAGGGCATTAAGGTCTTCCACTACTTCTTAAAATGTGTGTGGACAATGGCAGCTATGCAGCCAAGTGGAATTCTGGATATTTCTTGGTGGGACTGGGTAAAACTATCTGGATCTTTGAAAGTGGAGTCTGCAGGGAGCACAGGACAACAATGAGCTAATTCTCCCTTGATATAAGAGCAGGTTCCTTCTGCTATTAATAATCTAATTCATTACATTAAACTTGAGCAGACTGCCAGGAGCTTTACAAGCCCACAATAGACCTGGGGTTACTATTACTTTCCCCATACACTTTTATCTACAGAATGCTCTGTTTATGAATAGAATGATAACTGCGTTATTCTTGTGGCATTTCTTTTTGCTTCTAGATACAGGACAGACAAGAATGACCAGGCTGACAGAAAAGACCCATACACTGGCCTTCTGAAGTGTCCAACAAATCAAATCTTATCTATCTGGACAAGTTGTGAGGTTGTAGCTTCCATTCCATTAGCTATACTGAAGCTGCTCCCCAATCAGCATTGGTGTATGTTATCACTTCAGATGTGGCAATGAGATTCACTTTGCCTAAGGCTAGTACACATGAGATGCAAATGACTACAATTCTTTCAGTGCTAATTTGAGAGATTAAAATAGGAGCAGATGTGTTTCAACACAGGATTTGTTTTAAATGGAAGTTGGTCTTTGAGGGGAAAACACAACTGTTCAGAGCACACTTAAGCAACTAAACAGCACTCAAATACTAATACAGCACTGAGAAGGGAAAGCAAAAGATGAATAAAATCAAGGATTCTGGAATCCAAAAATACACAACTTTCTCTTCCATCTGCATTATATTGCTCAAGGATAAGAACTATGGAAACATGGATAAAAAGGCATCGCCCATGGGAATGGAATGTCTAATAATGTAATGTTTTATACTATACTATTGTTCTTTTGCTGATTCTGTGTGTACATATTAGAAAAATACATAAAACATTACATATAGGAATAATGCTACACACGTTACATTTAAAAAACTGTTGATAGAGGTTATGGATATGGGTATATACATGGAAAAAATGAAGGGGTGAGAACTCAAACTGAAAGTGCATCTCACTACCTTTCCTTGTTAAAGAAGAAACAGTCACAAATGTAATTGCTGCTGAAAAGTTGTCTGTTCAGCACCTAGACTATTTTCAAGTATCAAAACCCTACATGGCTTGGGGTCAGGTTAGCTGAAGGAACTCTCCTTCTATGGGGTTACATCCTACATCACATGAGAAGACCTGCACTTGCTGTGTACCCCCCCAGATCTTTTCTGGAGAGGGACCCTGTTGCACAAGTGGTTTCCATTTCAATGGTGGATGGGCAGCATGGAATATCACTCTTAGCATCCTACCTGGATCTTGAGTTCATCACTTTCTCCAAATGATACCACCAAGTTATATGGACACTCAGTTGTGGATGCTCTCCCCAAAGAAGCTCACCTGCAGGTTCCTTTGAATTCTTTTCAGTGCCAGGCAAACATTGTTTTAAAAATCTTCAGGATTTTTTGGGTGCTTTTCAAATTTTAGATTAGATTTTTTTTAATTTGAGCTGTTTAAAGTTAATTTTAATGAGCTTAATTTTACTTCTTAATTTTTGTTGTGACATGTTTTATGCTGTAATTGTATCTTTATAGTTCATAAAGCATATTTTAACTATTTTTATGTATGCTGTCCTAAGAAGATCAATAAAGGGGTTAATTAATCAACAAAGCAGCAAGTAGGAAATTACATGCCGGAATCTGCTCTGCCATATCAACACTCAATTCAGCTTTGCAGCAGTTTGCAAAGCAGAAATTGTTGCATTAATTTGGGATATAATAATCTTAATTTGACTTGTGTCTTCTAGCTCCCACCTCCAAACCCCAAAAGTTCTGAATCATCTCTAGGTTTAAAGAATGCCAGCTTGAGTACTTTTTGGGGTACTTAACTCCAACACAACAAGCATGCCATATAAAATGCAGCTCTAGCCAGTCAAGTTTACTAGGTGCAGCTTGGATTAGTGCAGAAAAATGAAAGAGAGCTGTCATGTTTATGATTCATGCCTATGTCACGTCAGTCAAAAATTAATTTCTAAAACCTCTTTTAATACTGTCTGTTTGTATGCTTGTGATGGTCTAAGAATTTTAACAGTTTGGATTAAAAGGATGCTAGGCATATATGAATTAGTCCACAACATATAAACTGGCTAAAAGCTGGTATGAGTGGAACACCATAAATACTACCAATACTGATAAAACTACTTGTTAGTACATATATGTTATCCCTTGGCCAGACAAAGAGAGAAAAGGAAAGCCTCTTGCCAGTGCAAGATCCACATATCATTTCTTGAGCTTATGGCACAAAATGTCAACATTCTTCCCTTATTCATCCTAATTTGTATTAATGAACATTCAAAATGTTCAGCTTATGCCTGTCCTGGTAGGTGACAATAATATATGGATGAATGGCTGAAGAAATAACTCATTTGACAAACTGACCAGGAAAAATAGGAGAACATAATTTAGGTCAGGGAATGGCAGAGAATTCTTTTCATAGATAAAGATTTTTTAGTAAGATGAAGATTCCAGCAACACATGGACTTTTTGTTACTACTGAGAAGTTAAATAAAGACAACTTATCTTGACATAATCTTCAAGGTTAATAATAATATTATTAATAATAAAAACCTTCAGTAGCTACAATGAGTTCCACTTTTTATTGATAGCTGGTTGATATAATTATTATATTTTAATTTATTTTCATTTAATATATTTTCTTGCTTTGCACCTCATATAAGCAGACCAGCTGGTGAATTATGAACTAGCTGTATTAAGAAGCATTGCAGTGATGGTGATATGAAGATTTTACCTGAGATATTCATTCTGAGATTGCTCAGTCATTTACACAGGTCATCCCTTCTTATTAGTAAGAATAATAATATGCCAATATAATAAAATCTCTGGATGGTTTACGAACAAAAATGATGTTTAAATTTAGTGGTATAATTATCAAGTGATGAACATGCTCTTGTAGACTGCCAGGTGCATAGAGACCATGAAGTAGCACTACAGAACTGCAGCCTCAGATTCTGTATCCCTAAGTCTATATGACCAGCCCATCATTATAATGGTATTTGTACTTAAATCTCCTTGATTTTATCACCAATCAGCATTACATTTGGTTTTTCCAAACGCCATCAGACATTCAGTCCATTTGTTTTAGAGAAGCTGGTTATAAACACGATTTTTTATTAATTCATTAAAATTATATTGCTAAAGCCTAGTGCAAAGCAACTCATGGACAACTGCAGTATCAATCAGAGAAAACAAAGAGGCAACAGAAGTCACACTGGACCGTCAGACAACTTGTTATAACGTTCTTGTTTAGTAGTTCTGCATGATGTTGCTTTGTCAGGAGAAGATATCAAGAACAACTTTTTACCACAAAGTGTTCCCATAACAAGTTACAAATTATATGCCAAAATTACCACAATTTCATGTACGTTTTCATTATCATTTTCTTTTCTTTTTATAAAAGACAAGATCCTAACAAAACTATTATGAATGAGAGCAACCAAATCTACTCACCTACAACCTGGATGATTTCAGCCAGTAAAACTCCATCGGTCACATCTTGTTGCAGGTCCTTTATCAAACGTTTATGGCCAGATTTTGCAAGATAGTGATTGGCCCAATCAGTATAAATCTGGGGAAAAGGGAGGGAGAAAACACATTAGCCATTAGACTGAATTTGCTTCTTAAACCATAATTTTCTCACTTAGTTTAAAGCATCCACCAAGGTTTGCAGTCCCTGGAAAAGAATGCTCGTCCTTCTCTTGAGCTGTTTGAAACAAAGTTAGCACCATTAAAATTCAAGGCATTGCGCTGATCAAGTATTCAGCTTATTATAGCAGGGCTTTCTTGTATAGAGATATTTGACATCAGAGCTGGAGGAAACTAAAGAAAGCTTCTAAACATGCTACAGCCTGAATGGGTTATCAGACATGGAACTAAACAGTCTGCAAGAAAGACAGGGCTGGATTTCTTTATTTATACTAAAGAATTAAATGTTTCCCGTCTGTCCTAATTTTGGGATACCCTAAAGGATATTTTTAAAGCAAACATTATAAATCTATTTTTTTACATGCTAAGTTTTGTAAACATTAACAATTTCTTTTGTTAGAACTCAATGAAGTTTACTAATTTCCTTTTGAATTCAGACTGCATTCAAATTAGATTGAATTTAAATTTAATATTTATTAAATGTTTAGTATTTACATTATTTAATATTTTAAAATTATATTTAAGATTTGTAAATTTCATTTATATTAAATTTTATATTGAATTTAATTCAAATTAAATTATAGTGCTATCATATTGCTATTCACATTCTAAATGAAACATACTCCTGACCACAGTGAACAACAGTTCCAAACTTGGAGTCCAGCATTAGATTTGTGAAACTTTTGGGGTCCCTTTCCTCCCAAAACATCCTCACATGCATACCTATTGAAGATTTCTCCACTGATAAATCTAATATTATTTCCAATTGATTTTAAAAATATAAGTACATTCAGGATTTACTTTTTGATTTTCCATACAAAAACTTCACATGCAAATTAGAAAAGATCCTACATGCCATACTCTGGAATATCCATATCAAAGTTATATTTCGTATTCATATTGTGTTCCATTTTTAACAAGTAAGCTTTCAGAGAAGCCATGTGTGTACTGAAAAGAAAAAAAAAATCAGACCAAATCCATTATTGTTATTTTGATAGCAGGGATATCTAGTCACAATGCTCCTGCTGGCAGAAATGGGTGACTGGTAATTCCTCTGCTTCCCCAGGGCCACCTCCCCCACTGTACTGGAGGGTTTCCCAACTTTCTGGAACACATTTTCAGAGCACATGGGAAACAGAAGGGGAGGACAGTCTCCTTCCACCTTCCGGACCCTGAAAACATCTGTCAGGACTGACAAAAGGTGCACTGAGAAGGTTTGCTGGATCCAAGCCACAGAATCTTCCAGGGATGTTTGACATGCTACACCAGCATTGCAATGGAACAAACTCTTTCGCTAAATGAAGAATAATGTTTTTCTACATAACTGTCTGAGGCAGAGTTAGCCCAGAAACAAATGGGCATTTAGAATTTATAAAACCACATCAGTGAAGTGTCTAAAGCTACAGTGTTAAGCCTACAAGCTTGAAACTAAGTCTTTCTAAGAGCCATGGCAAGGACTTTCATGTAATGTGCATGAGGCTAGGCTAGTCTGCATGTGCTCTGACTCAAAAAGCTCTCCCTCAGATGCATTCATATTAGCAAGACAGTCAGTGCAAGGTGTTATGCTACTATCACTTCATATACAGCCCTAAATTCAATTATTTATCAAAAACCTATGCCCATGTACACACACACACACACACACACACACACAGAGTTCAGTTCATACAAAGCAAGATACACATGTGACTAAAATATTGTCCAGTACTTAAGTTGTAATCTGTTTGTTGAAATCTGTCTAGGTGTATGTCTAGAAAACATAACAGTCATCTCGTTAGATGCCAGAATGAAAGATACTGCTACTCCTCTGAGGGTATGAAGGATATGGTCATCTCTTGATGTACGGGAAAGGCAGGGTGTACCAGAGGAAGTGCTGCCCGTTATGATCAAGAGGGAATGGGGTTCAGTAGCCTTGATAATCTAAAGTGTGAAGACTTCTCCAAAGAAGCACCATGGGTGAGAATTCCTGGCTCCAAAACAAGCTTCGGGGAGTACGACAAAGAGGAAGGCTGTGCTGCCAATTCACCCAAACTGGACAATCACTACATTTTTTGCCAAAATTTATCCCAATAATATAATTACTTACTATTATTTGTTTGCATTTTGTCAAACAAGACAAAATTTAAGAACCGCCTGAATCCACAGGCAGACTTGTGGATTGCATTCAGCAAGCAAGTCCACATTTTGACAGAATTGTGATTGAGAAGCAGGAACAAAGAAATCATTGAATTTTATGTTTACAATTGGAATTGATCTTACTGTTTACAATTTTTAATAGCTCTATATGTATATGTGAATTTTATGCACTGAGTTAAAAGCATTTTCTTTTGAGTTGAATTTGTTCACCTGCAGTACTGTATGTGGTTCAATTTGTGGCTCAAAAATTAGAAATTTGACTTTTTCATCTTCAAGTGTGATATTACTTTTGTAAGGGGTGCAAACATAAATCAAACATATTCTAGGGGTACGGAGCATAGAAATGGTTGGGAACCACTGCACTAACCTATTTGAGTTCTTTGAGAGTGTCAGTAAGCATGCAGACAAGAGCAATCCAGTAGCTATTGTTTACTTGGGCTTCCAAAAGGCTTTTCACAAAGTCCTCCACCAAAGGCTCCTGAGCAAACTAACCAGTCATGGAACAAAAGGCAGGGAGAGCTTCTCTTATGGATTACTTAAGATTGGAATAGAAAACAGAGCTGCCAACAACTTACGCCACTTATAAAATATTTGGTACGATCACACTTAAAATATTGTGTGCAGTTCTGGTCACCTTACCTGAAAAAGGACACTACTGAGTTGGAAAAAGTGCAGAGAAAGGCAACAGAAATGATCAGGGGGCTGGAGCTGCTCCTGTATGAGCATCATGGGACTGTTTAGCTTATAAAAAAGGCAAGTAAGGGAAAACGTGATAGAGGTGTTTAAAATAATGCATAGTGTGGAGAACATGGAGAAGGAGACCTTTTTCTCCCTCATTGTATACCACTTGAATCCAGGGTTATCCCATGAGGCTGATTGGTGGGAGGTTTAGGACAGATAAAAGGAGGTACTTCTTCACATAATGTATAGTTAGGCTATGGAATCCATAGCCATGGGGTGGTGATGGCCACAAATTTGAATGGCTTTAAAAGGTGATTGGACATATTCATCAGGGAGGAGGCCATGAGTAAGCTACTAGACTTGCTTTGCTAGAGGTGGAATGCCTGCTTGCACCAGTTGCTGAGGATCCTGGGCGGGAGGAGGTCTTGTATCCATCCTGCTTGAGCAATCCTGTGGGCAGCTGTTTTGCCACCATGTGTATGGTTTGCCGGGTTGGAGTTAGGTTTGGGGTTAAGGTCTGATCCAGCATGTCTTTTCTTATGTTCGTGAAACACTAAATAAGCAAATCCAGTTGGTGCTCATGTTGGACATTGGTATAAATGTTACATGAATGTGATGGAATATCAATGTTTGACACATTTATATTGGTGCTAGAGAATATTTTGTTATCCCAGGAAGCAATCATTCATTGGATGCATGCAGATGGGATGAATGAGATTTAGCAGGTCATTGAATTTAGTCACTGCTATGATTTTCTTAATTTTAATGCTGCCCTACTTAGCTGCATGGAAACCATCCTCTCTCCTTGTGTCACTTTCAGATTATTCTGGTCAGTCCTCCAGAACCCAGAAAAGCAGCAGAATAACTAAATTCAACACCTCAATGATTCTATTAATAAAACAGTGTATAGGATTACAACATGCACACCCGTCATTTACATGCAATCTCAGAAAAATATACTACCCTTAACGTGGAAACTGACATATAAATTTGTTTGGAAAGAAACAGGTTAATAATATCCACTGATAAGCATATATAATGCTTATACAAGCATGATGGAGAGGAGGGATGTCTTGACACACTGAAAACCAAAAATGTTATTAATCTCTCCCATTTGATGAATAAAAAATTTACACATCTGCATATTTGCAACTAATAAATCAGTTGCAGTGGAAGAAGAGAATGCTGCTTGGGTTTTAGCTTTCCAGCATAATTTTATGAATACTGAATTACCAAGGACATTGCTCATTTTTATTAACTTGGTACTTTATATCCATTGCTATTTCTTCTAGCATACATTAAAGTAATTATGGAAGCCTTGCAGAGCACAGGCAAAATCCCCTTACTTGAGAAGTTGCAGTTGCCATCTTAAGTTTCTCCCAGCTCAGGAAGGACTGGGCAGCGTAGTTGTCTGAGAAGAGTAGTTTGCCACACAGTGACCTAGTTTAAATCATGGGTATTTGGGACTGTGTAACAACAAATGAGTGTGTAGCCTCCCAATCTCCACTTTCTTTCTGCTTTGGTAGGTAGTTCAAGAAGATCCCGGGTTGTGCTGTGACATCTAAACCAGTACTGTGAGCTCCTGAGAGAGAAATGACCCAGAGCTTTAAACTATGGCTTCTTGTATAATTTCTATCTGTACAAAGTTCAGATGTCATGGAACACAACTCAAGAATGAGGCATTCCTGTGTTGTTTGTCAAATAAAAATTAGCAAGCAGTTGGGAGGCAGAACACTTACTGCCAGAGTTTGCACAACAAAACAAGCAACAGCGCATGCTTACCTTGGGTAATACCATGATCTATCTGACAAATGGTCAAGTGATTTCTACTTTATCACGCTTTCCTTCTTCCCTGCTCAGCCCTCCAGCTGCTGACAAGAGCCTGGATGGCTGGAGCAGTTCCTGTAGTTTATTTATTTATTTAAAACATTTCTATGCCGCCCCCATCGCAACAAAGCCTTGGGGCGGCTCACAACAAAATAAATGTTGCCACTCTTTCCAGTGAACTCTATAATAGTTGTATACTATATCATGGAAACCTTGATCCTTGGTTCTGACAAGATGGTAAGTCATGATGACACAGCAAAACAATTGTTTCTAAAGACC